TTTATTCTTCATATTTATTTTCTATTCATTTATTGTTTTTTAATCATTATCAATTTAAATATTTCATCATTTAATTTGTTATTTGATTTTTATTTTGTGAAATAAATGAATATTAAAATTCATCATTATTTATATTGTTATTTTATGTTTGACATATCAATAACATTATGATTATGGTTTATCTCATTTATCATCAACATTATTTAAATAATCTTTATTGATAACACGTCATTGTTCAACTCAAAAGTATCAATGATAAATATAATGTATCATAATAAATAATAATACTACAATCATAATAAATAAATAACCTTATATCATAATAAATAATAATAAATAATAATCAGTCATAAAAAATAATAATCAATTAGCCTTGAATAGTGCGGTGTCCAACCAAATGTATGTCATAACCAGACAATAACTGGAGATTCAGTGATTGGACACCTTAGTGTTGTATGTAGTGTCTCTGATGTACTCCTTTAAATTATAAATAAACAAAATAAAATAATAAAGAATTAAAACTTTTTTTAGAAAATCTTAAAGAATTATTTTTTAATTCAAAAAACTTTTAAAGTAAATCTTAGTGTTTATAATATAATACAGTCTTATTAAATGTCGACATTAGAGACTGTTTACTTATGTAATGTTTTTCTCTTTATTAATAAAAAACAAACATTTAGTTTCCTTCCATTAGTTTCAAAGAAATGTAAAAATGCTATAGAAATGATGAAAATTAATCCACCATTAATTTTTCTTGACATTTCATTTATTGCAAAATACTTTAATCAAATCCAAACATTTCGAGGAAACCTAGTAGAATATCAAAATAAAATTAATGAAATATTTTTCAAACGAATTTATTGGTTTGAAATAAATATTTTAACAGCTATTAATTTAATTAATAGTCAATACTATGACAAAATAATTGAAATAAGAATAGAAGTAAATGACATTATCCGTTTACATTTATTAAACAATGTTCAAAGAATTATTATATATCATTTTCATGGTAAATTACTTTCATTAAGTCCAATTAATAAAAAAAATAAAATAAAAAAAATTATTATTTATCATAAAGAAAAACTTAATGAATATGAAATTAATTCATTACTTCATTTTTGTCATAGATATAATATGATTAATGTTACACTTATTAGTTCTTATTTTTCTGATCAATTATTTTATATTTCCAATTTAAAATTGTTTAATTATGAATTATTTAATGATGAAAATAAAAAAAGTATTCCAAATTATTTAGAAAGTTATTCTAATTCTTTTGAAGAAAATCAAATTACTAATATTGAAAAACAATTTGATATACTTAATGATAATTCATTGTGGGGATTATGTAATTAAA